AAAAAACGTATTCATAACATATTACATTTTATCTAAACATCAGGAATCGCGATTGAATTTATGTTCTAATGTTAGATTATTTTTTGACCCAAAGAATTTTGATATGGATCTGCACACTTCATGGTTTTTCCTACATATATAACGTACTAGGAAAATTACTTCAATGTATTTATATATACGCGTGTGCACATACTATAATAAAATTCTTTAGTTCAAACCCCAATGATCACTAAATGCCCTCCTATATACCTTTTTTTCTAAATATAAAATAAAACTATATAACCCAAATTATTCAACATCATATTTTACTTGGTATTTTTTTATATATCCTATATATATTAATTTAAGGCAATGTCACCTTTATTCTTTACAGATAAAGAATCGAAGCAGTAATTCTTCGGAGAAAGAGAGAAAAAGTTCGATACTGTTCTATTTGCAATTGTTTCATAAGAAATTCCGTGTATGTTACATATATTTTTATTGTTATTATTGCGAGTATTATTAATGTCGCTTATATGCCTATAATACATTCTGCATCAAATTAAAATGCATTTAATAAATTTAATGTATTATCTTAAAGGAAGAAATTGTGGCTTAAGTTTTAAGATTTAAAGATAATAATACATTTTCAATGAAGTAATATATATAAAAGAAACGTTTTTAACCGTAAGCGTATTTCGTTGACTTTACTTGTGCGAATAAAGATGGCTTTTCTTATATCTCTTGCATGTTTATCTTGTACATATTTTAATAAGTGTCTTTCGAATTGTTCTATAATTCATCGGTTGAGAAACACCAATGCGTTTTTCATATTAACTAATGTTACATCATGTCATGAGAATGTAACACCATCCCCATAGCACCTGAAGCATACAGTGAACATTCTCCCATGTATTATTTTATTTAATTACAGTCAGTCATTGGATTTATTTCATAACAAACTCCCTCATTTCTGAACTTTATTAGATAATTGCTTAATGCATTCTCGATAGATATTCAGAAAAATTCAGTACAATGCATAATTTCCAATGGACTAAGATTATAATAAGGCCTCAGAATATTTGACATACTGTAACATCCCATGGCTCATAGGAATATTACATAAAAATACAATCATCATAAAACTTTGCTATCACTATTGATATACATAAAAGGAAATATTAATGTTATGTAAAGGAATATATATATATATATATTGATATGCACTTTATAAGTCTGCAAATAATACTACCTACAATTTTATACAAATTTTAATTATTAAATATTAAAATTTGTATAAAATTGTAAGTAGTATTATTTGCAGACTTATAAAGTGCATTGGAATATATATATATTCCTTTACATGTATATACTTACATATAAATACATGATATTAAAATATTTTCTATTTTAAACAATCTGAAAAAGACATCAAAGAGAGAAAATTCTATCAGATATGGGATGTTACATATCTATTGTGTTGAACATTTTTAATGCAGTACTCTTCAGATGTTTATGCAAACATATTACAATGGAGAGTATATAAGTGCTACAAAACAATTCCAATATGCTTTATAATTGTTTACATCTACATTACACGTTCATTATGTATTTGTAAGGCCATATATACGAAATTTAATACAAAGACATTGCCTCTGTACAGACAATATTCGATATACTGATAAATTTGGAAATTTGTCTATTCATAGACAAATGGACGACACAGCCTCAACAGAGAATGTTCACAGTGTAAGACAGCAGCACAGACATATCTCAGCGCAGCCTCGCTTTACCATTAATTATATTATATTCATTTTGCAATCGTGTAAAACAGAGTCTTGTCAATTGCTTACGTTCAAAACATCCTTTGTAAGCATTATTAAGGTATGGGAATTTGCTTAAGAACTAAAATAATTTCACGTATACGAATTTTTAAGTTATTTAACTATTTATTCGTACGCGCTTGATTAACTTTACACATACCTGCATCACAGAGTTTTCTTGAAATCACCCATACACTGGCATTATGTATTTAATCAATATTGTTTATATCTTAAATGAGAAATGTACCTACAAAGGATATTTTAACAATGTTAAAAAATATAAGTCTATATAGAAACTATATCGTATGAATTTTTGTTTCTTAACAATGTACAGAACTAAATGTTTACATGTAAATATTACATAACAATGGATAAACAACAATGTTTAACAGAATGTTTTGTACCTAGGTATCTAATATGGCATAAGATAGGTCATGTGCCGAGTTATTCTTGGCTACTGTCAAGTCTAAGCCAACATTATACACAATTAGTTATTAAATAAGATGTGCATGATTTCAATGATTGATGAATCATTATTACATGCCACCTAACTACTTTCCACTTTAAGGGACTTCTAAAAAGAATTGTTTATAATCCCAGTTGTTTGAGTAATTTAAAAAAATTGTGTAAATGTCATTCTAAGAATTGCACGAAAATTGTTCTAATGCGTTACATCACCATAAAAGATATCAAAAGATTTCTATTTAAAAGAATGCTAAATTAAACATTTCTTATTATTTGTAACAATAGAATATGAGATTTTACAAAATTTTTGATTTTATCTTAAAAATATTCAAGATGTTATAAGTGAACAGACATCTTCTTGTCTAAATTTAATTAAATCAAATCTTTATTTATTTACGTCCCACTATATGAGCACATATTAACAAATAAAAATTAGTATATAATTCAAAAAATTCAGAAACTTGTCAAAAATAAAAATTATATCCAATAAAATGTCAAAAAGAAACTCTTTAGAAGCCCCATAATAATTTATCTTCATTCAACATATCCTTCTTTCAAATTTATTTCACTCACTCTATGGTAAAACACACAACATTATAATATAATCCTATCAAAATGGCATTCAGTATTTTCTTATAGGATTATTTCATTCAATATATAAAAAAAATATATATAATTTCGACTACTCAATGGAAACGTTTAGTAATCGTCAGTTTGTACTATCCGAATGCCATTTTTGTGTATATTACACTTTCTGGACTAGTTCTACAAAGATTGTGTAGGGCTGCCCACGAAATTCTAATTGAAATATAATTAATATCTATGTATATATATATATATGTATGCATATATGTATGTATATATGTACGTATAGTGGGACTTTATTGATATATAGTCAGTTCACAATGCTCGTAATGTCACAATGTTCTACAAGTATCCTTGAGTTAGCATTGCTATAAACACTTGGATGATAATTCAATTATATAAAATCGTGTAAAATTTTGAAAAAATCATTGATATACACTTATCAAAAATGTGAAAATATAATTTATAACACTGATATTTTTTAATCACTGATATTTTTTAATAAATTAACGCAAGATAAGACTGCTGATTTGATACTTTGTATTTTAAACGAAAAAAATATTCAGGAAAACATTACATTTGAAAAAAATTATATATAATGAAATTATTATGAGGATCATGTTATTTTTTACAAACTTATCTTGTTTTATTTGAAAAATTTTGTTGAAATTTAAATACACTGAAGATATTTAAGTGTTAGTATTTATCTGCTTTGATTATTGATTTATATATGTTTCACAAATTACTGTGCATATAATGTTTTTAAACTAAACTCAATAAATTTCACATCAAGATCTTTCTACAAGCGTGCTACGAGCTGTGACTGACTTATACTTACCTATGAATAGGTGGTAATTTCCCACTAATATTTCTTTTCAATTGCACACGTCAAGTGCTTATTAATTTTCTTTATCGAGGTACTTTTCGATTTCGGCAAATATGTATGCTATCTTGAGTACGTCATGTCATATACATCACGTCCAATTTTTGGTAAGGTCTTAGTAATGTAACGCCATCACGATTTACTGGCTTCATGCCAACTCCAAGATATTATTTTCATTATAACTTGTATAATTTAAATAATTTATAATTTACATTTCCTGCAGAGAGAGAGAACACAAGTGGTTGTACGCAAGCATGTTCGGTTAGCTTTGGGTTACTATATTACAAAGATGCTTGGTATATACCACCACACTGCAATTGATTGATGTATGACAGAATTTCATTGTACATCATTTTATATAACGGGTTTAACAAAGACACTCAGAAATACATACAGATGTAGACGCACCTGAGTGTATGTGAACGTGCTGTCATATGCTCTCTACCGCACGCATCTTCGAAATGCTTTTTTGATTTTCCGTGGAGCTGCTGCCGATTGGGGTGGAGCGCTATAAGAAATAAGAAAAAAAAGAAAAAACTTTTAGTACATATCCTATAAGTATAAATGCATAAGCGCGAGATAAAGATATTTACTTAAATGCCGTTGGCGCACTTCCTTTGGTGAAGTTGAACGAAGGCC